TAGCTCCCTTGAATCTACTCCTCATAGAAGCAGCAAAGCTTTTAGTATTTGTCTACAACCTTTGAGCAAAAAGAGACTGATTTCTCTTTTGTCATTCTTCATTGAAAAAGTACTTTTGATCATTTTAAGAATGTCTTAAAAAAAAAGAATCCTAAGGATCAGTAACAGGTTTTTTAAATTAGATTTACCGTATTAGCCGGACTATATGCCGATACTTTTTTCCCCCGCTTTGAACCATGCAGCTTATAAGAAGGGGCAGGTTTTCTGTGGATTTTTCCTAACTAGTATAGGGGAAGTCAAAGTTGGAAATTAAAGAATAAGGGGCCATTATTCATTTAGCACAAGAGCATGCTAGCAGCACAACGGAGAACAAATGTCCCAAATTCACATATTTTGACATTTATTTGCCGCATTAAAGTTGCCGAAACCAATTAAGAGACTGGGTTCAACTCCTGTAGAACTGAAATAAAGAGCAGAGGAAGCCCCATCTTTAATAGAAGCTCTTACTGCTGCGAGCAAACAAGATAGCTAGCATTCTCCTTTGTCCCTCCTCCAGGGGCTATATGTAGAGCTCCCCCTACAGGTTTGGTGGGAGATAGTTCAATGGATATCAGCGGCTTATATATGTTTGTTTCCGAAAAGATCTGCACTTTAACTGCCCTAAGTTCATGGAAGAACCACTCAGTCTTACCATTTGTATAGCTTTTAAACTGAAATAATAAAATATTTGAGCAACTGTTTTCTTCCTGCTACTTCTCCTTAATAGCCAGATGTGTGACAGATACTCCCAAATGAAATCATTCTAGCATAAATGACATGGCGTTGAGGAGTTAGCATTTGTGTAGGCAAAACATCTAATAAAAATGCATTTATTTCACCACCTTTCAGACACTTAGACCGGTGTTTCCAGAAGTTTAAAGGATCTCTTGTTTCACTTTATTAATGTAAAAGCATTTAGAGATAATATGTTCTGAATCAAATAAATGGCATACATGTTTATCTACTAGGTGAGATGACTACATCAGATGAATGTTTGGCTTTCAAATCTTAAAATAGTCTTAATTTTCCCAGGTAATAAGATGAACTTTTGCAAGAGAATTACAATTTCGTTATTCATAATGACAAGTCATTGTTATCTATAGTCTCCTTCACTTTAACTTCAACACTATTTTCCTATGTAAGGGAGCTTTACTGAGATCTGTTGCTGACTTCCAGCCTCGGTGCAGTTTGTAGGAGCGTCTCTCTGTTTTCTCCATTCTCTATTGTGAGTCCTCAAGGCCATCTAGTAAAAACAGAGACATTGTTGTTATGAATACAATCCCGCAGCAGTTTTTTTCCCAACAAGACAACTCAGAGTTTGGTTACTGAGAATAACCCCATCTTTATGTCATTACATATGGGACAGAATCCAGCAAGTCATTACTGAAGGCATAAAAAAGTCGGGTTGGGTAAAATTATTCATGTACCTCAGCAATTCCAACTTTTCTCTCCCAGAGGTGAACGCTCTGCTGCAGCTTCTTGTGTTTTTCCTTGGCATAAACATACTCGGTGATTTGAGGACATTGATAATCTCTGAGCTCTTTGCACAGGAGTTGGTTTACGCCCTCTGCTTTTAAACGCTCCTAAAAGATAAAACAGGTTTAAAATGACTTTTTCTAATTTTCCCAATTAACAAAAAATAATTTTATCATTTCAGAAGTAAAAAAAATATAAAAAGATGTGTTTGTCTGGGTTGTACTTTAAGGAACAACAACAAGACAAGAGAAAATCAATCAATTTTACACTTTGAAGTCATATTCACTAAATCAAAATATATATTTATTTCTGTAGCTTATTTCAAAAAGTGAAACACATCAAATATATTAATCACACACAGACTGGTGTTTTACACAATTTATTTCTGCTAATTAGGACTATTTCTTCTTACAGCTGACATTTAGAAATTTACATGAGACCAAAAAAAAACATTTTGAATATAGGAATTTTGCTCAGATTGTTATTGAATTAGATAAAAAAGCCTTAACCTCAAGAAAAATGTATTCAAATTTATTGATTATTACATAATATGGATTTACTATTTCTGTTATTAAAGTTTGTTTATTCTTAAAAAACCTTCTCGGCATGCTGTATCTCTTCCTCAAGCTTTGCGAGCCTTTCCTTTCCTTTAGTGATGTCATTGGTCAGTTTTGAGGATTCCAGTGTTAAACAGTGGAGCTTCTCCTGTTTCCAAATACAGAAAGAGATACAGATTAGACCCACTGGAGACAAACTTTTCTGTTAAAATGTTAAACTTCTTCATTTCTTTTTTTACCTTGTGTGAACTTAAAAGACGCTGAACCTTTGAACTGTTATCTTGAAGTTCATTAAGGTTTATGTCCATTTGGAGTTCACTGAATTCTTTAACAAATACCTTTTTAAAAAAAGACCGACATTTATTTTCCAAAAAGCAAAATTAGAATAGTTAAATCAACCAATCATTGAATTTATTAACTTTTGATATATGACATATGTATCAAAAGGTTATATGGTTTGCAACAGCGCTTTTCCAGACTCTGTTGTCCAGAGTTCTGAGTTTTCTCCACTGAGTTTGAAATATAAACATTTTTGTGTCGAAGGAAGGAAGGAAGGAAGGAAGGAAGGAAGGAAGGAAGGAAGGAAGGAAGGAAGGAAGGAAGGAAGGAAGGAAGGAAGGAAGGAAGGAAGGAAGGAAGGAAGGAAGGAAGGAAGGAAGGAAGGAAGGAAGGAAATTACAGGTAGGAAGGAAGGAAGGAAATCATAGGTAGGAAAGAAGGAGGAAGTACGGAGAGCATACAAAGAAGAAACAGGTGAACAAGAACAAATAAATGGAACAAGAGGGAAATGAATCAAATAAGGAAAGATAACAGGAAGAAGGAAAAAGAAATAAAAACATTTTCCATTCTCATTCCACCTACCCCATATTCAGGAGCACTTGTCTCTTTTTTCTCTTGGAGCTGCTGCAGGAGCTTCATCTCTTGCACCTTTAGTGCTCGATTCTTCTGATAAAACTTTTCCAACTGGGTGACCTTTTTTTGGTTCATTACAGAATTTGGAAGAATATAATGAATAAAAGAGCAAATGAACATATACTTTAGCTAAAAACAGTATGTGTTTGTTGGATAAATAAAATAAGTGTACAGAACATGTTCAAATATTTTTTTAAGCATGTGCTGATATTTGACTGACACCAGTTTTTACCTTTGATTTGTCTTCAATGTGCTTGAGTATATTCTCAGGCATCTCCAGATGGCTGTCCTTGGTAGGTTTAAAAAATCTGATTTCAAAATCATTTTTCACCTTCTTGATATCATTTAAACGCAGTTCAGATTCTTTTAAGGAGGACTGGAAAACAAAGCAGATTGTCTAATAAATGTCCCACAAGTGTCTAAATGAGTGTTTTAAAACGTTAGTAGTAACCTTGTAGTTTTCTAGAATTCTCTCATATTTCGTTTTTAGTTTCTCCATATCTTGCTGGGTCTCGGTTACTTCTCTCTGTGCCACATAAAGTTTTTGCTCCAAGGTGAGCAGCTGGGGAACCTCAGATAAATTTGCCAACGGCCTCTGTCCCCTTTCAATTTCCTAAGGGGATAAACCAAAGCAGGTGGGTTTATCACATCAGAGTAATTTGTCTTTAAACTTTATGACAATGCAACAGGTTGATTACATACTATCACAACCCCCCGGTCCTAGTTGTTTTTAAGTAATTCAGATAAAAAATTATAAATAGGATTACATTAGTGAACATAAAGCAATCAGAAACCTAATGATGATAACCTGTGAAAAATACAGCTGGTTGATACTCTAATATTGTGGGTTTTTGTTGTTATTTGCAGTCATACCAGATTACAGTAACAGAAAACATCTAGTAATCCACAATGTGACTGTTTTATATGCTCCATTAGAGGAGATTCATTGTGGTATTTAGCTCTATATCAAAAACAGCAGTTTATCTGGATCTGGTTTGTCAGTCCGGTCGGTAAACTAACATCCTCTGTGGATCTGTCTTTATTATGATGTGGCACTACTTATTGCTCTAATGTTACTGGTTCTTCCTTTAACAATGTATTTGTTTTGTTTTTTTCTAAATGGATAACGTGGATAACCCCTTCTTACCCCGCTGTATAATTTTGAGTCTCCTGTAGATTGTGGACTGTCTCCTCCAGTCTTAGACACTAAGTCCTGAGGTTTCAAACGACTAATAAAGTTTTCAAACATGACATTTTCTGTCCGAAGGGCCTCATTAGAACACCTATGAAAGAAAAATTAAAGATCTTTATTGTCATTATAGATGGTATAGGAAAATCTAGGATGGCATTATGTTGACAAATAATCTAACAAAAGCAAGAACATTAAACAGGAAATGTTAGTAGGCCTACATGGTAAACCGATGTTTGTCTATGTAAGGTGTATGTGTAATGTGATTATGTATTTATTATGTTTTTTTAAACATGTTTATAGTAAATGGGCTTAGCATCTATCTACGCATGAAAACTGCTTCATTAGAAATAACAAATGTAATCAATTGGGCAAAAATATAGTTAATTAACACATATTTTAAGTTGCCAAAATCATCACACTGTTTTAGATTGTTACCTGAGTTCCTTTATTTGGTCGCGAAGAAGTTGTTTCTGTTTATTAATGAGATATTCTTCTTTTGCTTCTATCAATAGCTCGTCCTCCATGGTTGCTAAAAGGGAGGAAATGTAAGCAGTGGTTGCTAAGGACACGTGTTGCCTTCACTTGCATCAAGTAAACATTCTCATTCCCAAAATTTTGATGGTTAATCGTTTCATCAACAAAATTAAGAATGATATGCAAAATTAAAATAACTTAACTTACACACAAAGCTATGTTAATTTACATGCATTGTGCTGATAGCTGTTTAGTTCGAGGAATGAATATAACCAGTGACACATTGCCCTTTAATTTCCATATAAACCGAAACTTATCCGTTTTGGTTTCAGTTCAGTGCAAATTGCCCTTCCCTTCTCTCGGTCCGGTGGTGATTGTTTGATAACACTCTTGTCGGGATGGCTTCGACTATCTCCAATTTAATTTTTAAGATTTTGTGTGATAATGACGGTTGTTTAGATTTAAGGCAGCTGAATGCGGAACTCGCACGGAGCAGTTTTGGTGTTAAAGTGGCGAACCTGCGCTCCGTCCTTATCGATGACGGTAAAATTGCGATTCGGACTAACAAACAAAGATGCCCGGGGCATGACATCGGGCCTGACAGTCTGATAGTCGCTAAAACCAGTCTGAGACTTTGCCAGAGAAAAGTTGGGGAATGCACCCAGTGTGATAGTTTACACCTGTGCAGGTATTTTGTCTGCGGAGGTTGCACTTTCGGGTGAGTTTCTATCTATTCTATCTAGTTCAGCTTTGCAAGAAGTTACTTCGGAATTCGGTGCGATATAAACTCTTATTCACAGGTTTTATAGACTTTATGGAAATTAAGACTACTGCACATCTCAATGGAGGTTTTTGCATAAGCAGGGCCGTAACCAGGATTTTTGAAACATCGAGGTCAAATATTGCGATAAATCTTACTTGACAAAAAAAAAAAAAAAAAACATCCTAATATGATGACTTTTTAAAATATATTTTGGAAACGTGAATAAAGAGAGTTAAATATTTTATATATTATATATAATTTTTATTATATATAATTTATATATTATATAATTTTGTCTCATGTGCATTGAAAGCTTTAAAATAGCTTTAGCAGAAATCTGTATTCTTCATAATGCAACAAGAGCAACACAACTAGGCTACCTCAAGAAAAATGTAGAACTATTTCATTCTAATATTTTGCTCTGTTTGCATCAATATTTTTAAGTAGGCTCCGACTGTAAAATAAAATCCAAGTGACAGTTACTTGAAATGCTTGCTGACGTGATGAGCATCCTATTCCTAGCCGTGCTTTGAATGATATTTTCAATTCAGTTTATTTGTATAGAGCCAATTCACAACACATGTCATCTCAAGGCACTTTATAGTTCACCAGATCATACAGTCAAATTGATTCAAAGTTTTCTCTCTAAGGAAAACCAGTTGATTGCACCGACTCATTGACTCAAATGCAATCCCTCATACTAAGCATGCTTGTAGCGACAGTGGAGAGGAAAAACTCCCTTTTAACAGGAAGAAACGCCTAGTAGAACCAGGCTCAGTGTGAGCGGCCATCTGCCAAGGCCGACTTGGGTTCAAGGAGACAGAAGCAGAGATATAAAAAGCAGCTGTAAAAAGGCAGCCCCGTCCAGGAAACACACAGCCGGGCAGACGAGCGCCCAGCCAGCTCCCATGTCAGAGGATGACGAGAGCACATCTTGCCAGTCCAACTCAGAGAAACAGGACTACACTTGAAAACAGGCCGATCTCCAACATCTATATTCACTGGTGAAATGAACTCACCTCCCTCTTTTTCCCCTGACCTGTTGGCTTTCTAAAGCTCAGTTTACTTTGTTTCAGCGTAGATTTCTTCATCTTGCCTCCATTTCCAGATTCCACCACTAAGAATTGCTAGCCTGTTCTATCTTGTGGTGTTCAGGGCGTGGGTGGCTGACTTTGGCGAAGGAGCTGCGTAATATGATAGAATGCAACGTCGGATCCGCTCAGTCTTAAAATAACGTGATGTTATAAGGTGATTGTGGACTTTATTTTATTTTTTAACAAATGAGAATGCATGCTTATCTTTACACTAATCAAAGTCAGAACAATTTTCATCATATAGTCTGACATTTCTCTGAATTAAAAATAAAATAATATTAATCATTTAAAAAAAAAAGGGAAAATACAGAGTACATGACCTCGGTGTTTTCAATGCTGGTTACGGGGCTGCATATAAGCTGTCACTGGGTCGTCCAGCAAACTCTAACAACTTCCTCAGTATTACTGACCAAACCTGAGTAAAACTGACAGAAAACATGAAATTACAGGTTGATAATAACTGGTCTACCTGAATAAACAGAAATAATTTTCGTCTATCCTTAATAGTTTTTTACGTATTTACTTATTTAAGAAAACCATTAGCTGTAGTTATTCAATATAGGCCTATGTATTCTTAAAGTGAGTTTGAATTAGAACATTTGTGATTATTTATTCAACGACCTTTATTATTTATTCAGTTGTGCAACTATTGATCTTCAGTCTCAGCTTGATCTATCTGAAATGTCTAGGTAGCAAAACCATTCTTCCTAAATAAAAGAAAAACACATAGTACATGTTTCTTTTTATTAGAATCAATATCTTTTTATTGCATCCAGGAACCTCTTAAAGTTAAAATGCTTAAATTTGCAATATGTTCTGTAAATTTCCTGTATTCAGAGTTTCCAAGTTTCTCTATTCAAAAAAGATTTTTTCAGCTTTAACAACAAATTTGTTTTACCCCAAAAAAGGCAGCAGATGGCAGTATTTAGCATTATTCAGCCATGTATCTTGACCAATCAGATCTTGACCAATTTTCCCTTGTTATTTAACCATAGTAACTACAGGCTGTTTCTAACTAGCTTCAAATTCAATTTAAGATACATCAGAATAATTAAAACCAAGAAACAACAGCATTAAGGGACAATTTATAGATTTTTAAACATTAAGAGCCTATCTATGAAGCTACATTTATTTCAGTGTGCTAATTTTATGTTGTACACTGTTGTCATTTTAGACCAAAGTGTAAAAATCCGCACAGTCTGGCTTCCTCACACAACGCGGAGATTTTAAAGAGATATGGTCTTCAGGATTTGACAGAGAAACAACTCTCGCAGCTTTTATTGCAGAATGACCCTTTTCTGCTTCCTGAGGTGGGAATCGCTGACTAAAATATAAATAAAGATTATTTCTCACTGCGCTTTAAAATGTTCTATTCATTCTATTCAATTATCTTCTATAGGTTTGTCCTCATTACAATAAGGGTGATGGTCTGTTTGGCTCCTGCAAATACCCCACCTCCTGCAGAAAGCTTCATGTCTGCCAGCATTTCCTCCAGGAGGATTGCAAGTTTGGCTCTGGATGCAAGAGAAGCCACAGAATTGATGAAGAAGGCATTAAGCTTTTCAAAGGATTCAGTCCGGGGAATATCCAAAGCCTCTACAAGATCTACAGGAATAAATTCATCATCACTGCAAAACAAGAGAGTCAAGCTGTTGTTCCAGGTAACTACACTTTGTTTATGTTCACTTTTTTACCGTCAGAGAATATGTGACATACATCCTTGCATTTCAATCAGTGTTTCCAGCGGTGACATCTATTCGTCAGCCGCCTTCCCAGCAGCCTTTGAAAATCAGCTCTGGACCCCTCTCCAAACCAAACAGCGATGTCGATAGGCATGAAATCTGTCTCTTCAATATTCGCACAACCTGCAGCTTTAAAGGTACCTGCTGCTGGTAGAGCTGAGCTCTTACATCTAAGGTAAAGTTCATCTATAAGCAATGTTAATGCTCTTGGTTTTCCATCACAGAGAACTGTGTGCGTGTCCATTGGAACCTACCTTACAAATGGGAGGTCTTAGACACAGATGGTGTAACTTGGAAAGACTTGCCTGATATGGAAGAAATTGAAAAGGCATATTCTGACCCATCATTGAACACTAGCTGCATGGATCCTCTCCTCTCTGGGTTATTTGCTATGACTCTGAATCTCAGGTAAATAAGAAGGCAAATGTTAACTGTTAATATAGTCAAACCTAGTAAAGGCGTCAACGAAAAATGTATGAATGAACGTATTTACCTTATTTTACTCTGACGCAGTCAAATAAAATGTATTGTGGACAGTTTTCCACAAAGTTGTGAAGCCTGGTGTGTGAAGACATATTAATAGCATAAAGGTAATCTAATTTTCTTTCAGAGCTGCATCTATAAATCAAGAGTATGTTGACTTTAAATCAATGACCTATCACGGCTCTCCGGTCCGCCGCCTGTCCACTGCGTCTTCTGTCTTACATCCACCACACTTTATTCTCACAACTCAGTGGATCTGGTACTGGAAGGAAGACGATGGATCGTGGATCGAGTATGGAAAGGTGATAAAGAATTGATTGTTCTACTTTTTTTGGCCTAATTATTCCAGAAATTATCATTAATAACTCTTATTTCTTCTGCTGCTTTACTTCTGACAGGGGTTTTAAGGTATAGAGGACGATCTTTTATTTTCGGGTGGATCATCTAAATAAGTGGTCTTCCTAATTGTCAATCATTCTGGTGATATGTTTACGTAAGGCCGTCCTACATGCTCGTCCTGTTAACTATATTTTTCTTCGCATGCATACTTTCAGGCATATACCTTTGGTGAGCTACAGTTTCAGACAGTCATTGAAGCCCACTTTTTCTTATGACCCTCGGCCATTGTCAAAGAAAATGGCCGGGAGTCATAAGAGAAAAGTGTCTACGAAGTGTATGAGGAAAAAAACAAAGACCTCAGAAGAGTCAGATATATCCTAGAATGCTTTGCCCGGAAAGCTCTCCTCACAAAGCATTATGGGATTTGCTGTCAGAGCGTCCCTAATCACAAAGATGGCGCAGGCGCCGCAAAGTGAAGGAGAAGTTACGTGCCCAACAGAGCAAAAAGTCCACTATATACTCCCCACTCTATATAGTGATTTAGGGGTTAGGGCGGACATTTGGGCACAGTAAGCTTGTGTGAGTTATAAAAACAGCAACTTTTAAACAGAGTGTGCACGAGGAGAAATGGGCTCATGCATGCTCTCGCATGCTCATTTTTTTAAGTAGAGAGGGAGGGGCTTTTAAAAAAACTTGCAAAAATCCTCCACAATACCTTTAAGGTAATGCTGTTTGTACAAGAGTATTCAGCTGGTTTATTGCAGTGGTTTTCTTTATGAATCATTGCAGACAGAATTGCTGGAGGAGTCAGAATACGGTAGTTTATTTTGGGTTTGACTTTGAAAGAAACGGCTCAAGTGGTCAATTTCTAGCATTTACTACTTACGTCTACTGTAGATCTGATGAATTAAGAAGAGAGCCTTATTTGTATGGTAAGAGTACATTTCGTAATGAGGTTAAAGGGTTTGAACACATGACTTAAAAGTTCCAGTTTTACTCAAACAATAATTAGCAATGAAAGTCTTCTCTCAGACTAGTTTACATGGGGAAAGAACTGCCAATTAAAAAATATACAGGTCTAAATCTATAAATTTGTCAATAAATATGTCTAAAATTTATATTTATTCCTTGTTGTCAGGTCATATATTAAGGCGACACCAGATGTTTCAAATGTAAGAATACAAGTTTATAAATTTGTAATTTAAACTTGTGTGTTTGAAGAGATGTAACTTGTATTGCAAACTTCCAATCTTGTTTTCTCAGTGATGAAGTACCTGATGCCACAAGTATCTATGAGCTAGAAATACAAATATTAAACCTTTTCGTGTTTAATGACTTTGTTTACAAACATTTATGCATACAGTATTTATATACAGTTATTTTACCCCATCGGTTTAGCTTTGCATTGTGCATTTATACAGTCAAAACCAGATGTAAGTTAGGATTACAAAAGTTATTTCTAAAAATATCCAAAGAGATAGATTTATGTTCACATTTATAAGTTTTAATTTGTAAAGTATTTGGTTGGGCTGCCAGTTAAATTTCATGATTTTGGTCAGATGTTTCCTGCCAGGAGATCTTACAGTATATTAGTTTTATTTAAGCCAATTCTTTAGAACCAGAACTGGAGTGAGCAAGCCAAGTTCATAGAATGCCTAGCTTACAAACAAGCCTTTAGCTCTGCCCCGTCTGTAGGACATAGATTAAGGCTTTTAATGCAACTCAAAAATATTCAGTTGGAGCTAATTTGGGAGTATGTAGTATTTGGTTTACAGTTTGGGTGTTCTCAAGAGTAGAAAGGTTTTAGACGTAGCAGTGCAGCTTCCAGATTTAAACCTCAAACAGCATATCGGCTGAATGTCACACTGAAAGATCCTGCCATCCTAAAGATGAAAGCACTAAAAGAAACTGTGGTCTTTGAGAAGCATTACATTAAAATTATACAAACAATGTCAGTGAGTCAATGGCTTAATGCAGTTATTACACCATATTAATCACCTTTTTCATTTTTCTTACCTAAAATTAGATTGTTCCATTGCAAATATTTTGCATACTACTGTCATACCCGTGGTGGAGATTATTTGAAATAAAACAGCATTATTGCACAAAACTGACAGCATGACTACAGTATGGGAGAACAGTATTAGTGAGTATTGGCAAGGGTGTTGCGATAAGATACGCATCACAATACTTAGGTCATGATACGAGACTATCGAGATATTGCAATATCACAATATATTGCGATGCTCTACCCAACTAATATCAAAATTAAATGTAGATAAAATAGCAAGCACTGTAAATGTTGATCAGTAGACACTGATCCTTTAGTTATTTTTGGCAGCCATGTTGTTTGTGGTTTGTGTAAGTTGCCGTCTGCCAGAGTGGTGGTGCAGCAGCACATTTTCCCCATTATGGAAAAATGTTTTTTTTATTTTTTTATCAGGAGCAGAAAGATCGCTGTTATATTGGACAGCCAAAAATGGCTTTTTATCACCAAACTGATTTTTCCCCACACCTCTAGAGAACAGTGCATTAATTATACATAATATAAAAACTTATATATAGGCTACAATATAAAAAAATCAGAATAATGTAAAATGTAAAAAACATTTTATTTTCATATTAGAAAATGAATTGTGACATATTCTTTGCTTGTGCTGTTTTCAGGGTGGGGGAGGCACCACAGTGTCTTCTGAAACACTGGAGAAAATGTACCTGGCAGAAAAAGATGCAGAGGTCCCTTTCCAGGCAGGCAAACATCAATATATTCTTCATTTTAAAAGTGCAGAAGGAAGCCAGATGTATCAGAAGAATATAAAGTACCAAACCAAGAGAGAGATCCGAAGGAGGCCTCGCTTTCTGTCAGCTAAGGATGTGAAGGACCTCAAGAGGTATTTTGTTTTATACATCACAAATTCCTGTTTCATGAAATTATTTTGATGATATTTTTATTTTTATTAATGTTTTATTTTCCTAATATCATATATAGTGGATCAGTACTACTTTCCAGCTCCTCCACAGTTGAACATATTCCATCCCACTGGTGCAAGAAAGCCCTGCCTGATATTGGATATAAGGTACAGCATTTGTTTTATTCCCGCTTGATGGATTTTTCTTTAATTTGTTTTGTTACATAACTAATCACATAAATATCCCTGCCTGGCATTTCTCCTCTAATGTTGCAGCTCGTGCTTCTCTCAAGTCCTGATCCACATTATAAGGTTGAAGAGAATTTCAGACGCACCATGCAGTTTAGTAGAATTGAAAGCATCCAGAGGATCCAGAACCCGTCTTTGTGGAAAGTCTTTCAATGGTAACACAGTTTAATTTGGTGTAAATTTCTGTTATATTTATCTCTTAGTTTGTATGTTTTATGCGACGGATTTAAGTTTAACTCCGTCAATTCAGGCAGAAGGACCAGATGCAGAAGAGGAATGGTGGGAAAAATGTGGATGAAAAGTTTTTATTCCATGGAACCGAAGATCACTTGGTTGATGCCATCTGTGATCAAAACTTTGACTGGAGGATGTGTGGCGTTCATGGAACAGCCTATGGCAAAGGTATAATCAAATGGACTGTTGATATAATGAATTAACAATTGGTTTAATCTAATCTGTGTTTAAGACAGCAGCATTTAAAGAATGGGAATGGTTGTATCATAAATTTTTTGTGACAAATGTATTTATTTCTAGGGAGCTATTTTGCCAGAGATGCATCCTACTCAGACAAATATTCCAGAGTGGGAAGAAGTCTGAATAAGATCATGTTTGTTGCTCGAGTGCTGGTTGGTGAATACACAAAGGGAAGGAGCAGCTATGTTCGACCACCAACCAAACCAGGAAGCAAAGCCTTCTACGACAGCTGCGTTGACTCTGTTAGCAACCCCAGCATATTTGTGATCTTTGAAAAACAGCAGATTTATCCAGAGTACCTTATCAAATACAGATAAGAAAAGAATGTTTATTTTCTATTCCAGATAGATTAGAAAAATCTATAATGTAATGCTTTTTAGCTTAAAGCAACGGTGCACATAAGGGAACATTTTGCTGGGTATTTTGGTGAATATGAACATATTTCACATTTTTTTTCTTTTTTTTGCTCTTTATTGCCAAATATTGCAATTTAGTGGGATTGAGTGTGGATCACAAACCAGATAGTTAAAATGATAACAAACAAAAATAAATAAAACAGGTGTACAACAATTGAAAATAATGTGGAATTGAAATGGACAAACAGCACAGCCTGTGGGAGTTAATTTTTCATCTTTTTGACTTGACTTTAGCACTTTTTTTGTTTTATACATCTGTTTTTCCCAGTCTTGTGTGAATATTTCTTCTTTCATCTTGGCTAATAATTGAGTCTTCCATTTTTAAGATATTTTCTATGGTGACCAGCCATTAACCATATGTTGCTATCTCAGTCTTAAGCTAGGTTGTTTTTTTGTTTTTTGTTCTTTTTGCAGCCACCAACAGTATTTCAATTAGATTTTGGTCATTCTCATGCACATTTTTCTGCAAGTGTCCTAGACATAACACACAACAAAAACAATGTGTCATTGATGTTCTACTCCCCTCTGAAGACACACACTTCCAGTGGAGGTTTTAAAAGAAGCAGCGTCCTTTTTCAACTTTCTGTCTTGCCGGTAGCCACCTCGGCTGCGTAAGGCTAGACAGTAAAGCATTAAAGTAGCAACCAGAACACCTCTTGAGAAGTCTGCGCTCACAGGACAAAGTCAGACTGCCTTTTTCCTGCAATGGCAAATGCCATTTTTGCACTGAACCACTGCAACTTGCACACTGTCTCTTATCCTCTGCACTGTTCACACTTTGACCACTGCTGCACTTTTTGTATTTTTCTATAACTCGTGCCATTGTGAAATATCAATGCAACGTTCATAAGCTGTATGTAACGCAATTTCGTTCTGTATGCACCCTGTGCATACAAAATGACAAATAAAGAAGTCTAAGTCTAATACAGATGGAGCTGAACGCAGTGTTTTTATTCTTTCTGCGATTCAAACCTTGTTGAATGCAGTGTTCCCTGAAGCCTGCTGTAGCAGAGAAAAAGTAGAGCGAATCCAGCTCTGCTAACTTAAATCTAACCGCCGCACAACGCGGCCACAATTGCTGTTCCCCGAAGGAGCCGTTAGAAGCCGCCAGAGCCCTGACTACCTGAGACTGATAGCAGCACAGAGGAGCTGCTGCTTGAAGGCGGCGGCAAAGTTTGCCCCTATTATAGCATCGGATTAATCCAAAACTCTTCAAGAGCTGCTCTTGGGTGAACGGACTGGACTGAAGACAGGGCCTGCACAAAACTGGACCAGGTGAAGGCCTTCACTCCACCGAACCAAAATTGGTGACATCCTTCCCAGCTTTCCATCTCATGCTTGGTGCTCTGCTTGGGTGAAATAGGAACAATGGATAGTTGTGTTTTATTTGAAATAAGCTTTTGGATTCAACTGCTGATGGTTTTATAGGTTAACTTAATGCTAATGCTTACCGTAAGCCACTACCAATGTCTGAATTATTGGTTTAATCTTGTCATTATCTGTCTTGAAACCTGTTTTGTTCATTTGTATTTTCTGCTTATTAGCTCTTTTTTACAAAATTTTGGTGGCCACATGTTCATCACTAGTTTGTTTGAGTGAATAAAAATAATTTTGTCAAGTAAATCACTATTCTAAAAACTAAATTTGAATTTATTTCATGCTCCTTGATGCTTTTAGTTGCAGGAAATATTTGGGCATTGGTAAACTCTACAGACCCCTACACCCTTGTAATGATTGTTTATAACAGAGGTTTGACTGTTATAGATGTCATGCAATACTTTTCTCAAGTAGGTCATTTTCATTTACGGTATGTATAGAAAAAATGAAAAAACAGTCTAATTTTAAAAATATCTAATTTCTATTTAAAGCAAGACATCTCATATTGCAAGGAAAGAGAAACTGATTATATAGTTAAATATTGCTTCCTTAAGCCATTAAAGTTAGTGAATTTTCCATCTACACATTAGTCAGAAACTTCTTTGCCTTTGGTGATGTACAGTTTTAAAATGCCCAAATCCACCATACCGTGTATGGTTAATTAGAATTGTATTATAAAGATCAATTTACAGTCAACAAAGAACTCTAGAAATGATTGTACTGTAACTGCAGAGGAACTGAAACCTGCATGTATCCTCTTAGAAAAACTAGAGGATTATTTTGATTCCTGACTAGAAGATGTTTATTTAAAGTCTCAAAGGGAATAATATGCAAGAGATAATTTGAATCTGAAGGTACACAATCATGGAAAACAAATATCAAAACGACAGTCATCAATAGCCTTTACAAGGATGGTATCCCAGAAAGGTAATTGCTCAAGGAGCTGGTTGTTCCCAGAGTTCTGTACCCAGGCATATTAACAGAAAATGGAGTGAACAGCAGCCTTGAGAGGATTGTCAAGTGAAATATGTTGAAGAGATGTGGCAGCTTCACAGGGAGTTAAATAAGGCTAGAGTCAGTGCACCAACAGCAACCTCAAGGACAGATACTTAGGCTATAAATGATGCATTCATTGTGTCAAGCCAGGCCTGTACCAGAGACATCAGGAGTCTCTTACTTGGGCTTAGAAGAGTTTAGGAACTGCACTGTTGCCCAGTGATCCAAAGACCTGGTGTCAGATGAAAGCAATTTCTGCATCTTATTTAGAAATCAAGGTCTCTGAATCTGAACAGAGTAGAGACAAAACAAGTAACATATATAACTACAGTTCTATGAATCCCGAATAAACTCCTGAGGCAGTGCATCAAGCACTAAATGATCACTCTTGTGCTTGCATAGTTTTGAGTATTAGTATGAACAATGTCAACTGTGAACTACATGATCAACGTAAGCCTGTATAACCCAAAGACACGGGGAGTTCAGTTCCTCTATATTCTCATGACACCAGTGATACAGAGGGACCCGAATGCTCTGGTGGTCACCCGGGATTCATAGACCAGTAGCTACATACATAACTTAAGCTTTGTTTCACCCCTACTGATCATCAGAGGGGGTGCATGCACTGAATGACATATGCCAACAGCAAGATGGTTGCTGCAGGACACCTTCTAGAGGATGAGGTCTGGGAGAGGTCATTAGCCCACGCTAGGCGAGTGAATTATATTCTCTTTCAAAGTGAATTATATTCTCTTTCACCATCACTGGATAAAAAGAGCCTCTAGCACAAACTGCAGAACCCATGTAGGAGCCCCGGGCACTTTGGAGGATACAACTGTCTGACACCCCTCAGGAACAGCGTTATGACCCTACACTTTCCAAAAGAGCAACAGTTGACAACGTGACAATGGGAAATGGCACGTAGACTTTCAAAGGGAAAGGGGGCGGTCCTTAGTCCAGCAACCCTTTAAGGAAGTTCAGCAAAGGCGGAATGGGACAATGCTTGGTATCCAGCCCCCTGTCACCACACCAGTCAGCGAACGCTTCCCACCTGGCAGAATAGACAGCCCAGGTAGAAGGTGCCCATGCACAAACCATGGTACGGCTTACACACCCTAAGTCCAGGTTGAGCCCTGCAGAGGCCTAAGCCAGAACTACTCCACCAATCCAGGTCCAACCTGGATGGGAGGTGCATCAGTGAGCTGAATTGGAGCCTGCGGAGAACTGGAAACAGAGTCCTAGCAGAACAGAAAGGGGCTACCAGCAGTAGCTTGTGTCCCGCCTAGAGAACCCGCAGGAGGGTCTGGGGAATCACCCCAGAGTACAAGAATCGTCCGACAGGGTGAAAAGTGGGTCATTTCCCTGGAGGAAAAGAGATCCTCCCCAATCTGCTAAATGTCACCCAGATGTGATCCACCTGGATCACCTTTAGTGATTGATACTTAAGACCGCTGTAGTGTTGTCCGACCAGACCAACACGTGCTTCCCCCAACGAGGACCAGCATCAGAACTGGAGGGGTCAGAGTGGAGAGCACCCAGAAGTCTGTGGTGCAGTCACCCCAGTATAAAAGCTGACCTAGGGTAAATTATTAATATAAATTCAGTATAAATATATTCATTACAGATGCTTGGAGCCTGAGTTAAGTTTCCACAATCAGCTATGGTTTGAGATGCATGACATCTGCTAGTGTTGGCAATCCACTCTGTGTTTTATGCCCCCTTTTTAAAAAGATGTAACTTTACATTCCCATAACAGAACTATTCCAAAAAAGTAAAAAAAAAAACAATCCACTGGAATTTGCCTCTCAAGAATGTTCGTGGGTCCACAAAGGGAGGGCTGGCTGGGTTAAATGTCTCAGTGCCACTTGTATATCATTGCCAAAGCGTATGCATGCTCTGGTCTAATTTTAGTACCTTAAACTTGAAAAAGCCACATTCAGAAAATATGTTTGCAGCAAAAGGAAAAATACAATTCAGTTCCCTTTTAACCAAGGTGGGAAATAGTCCTTTCATAAATAATTAGGTAAAGAGAGCCAATTTCGAATTTAAAATTCCCTACGTGTGTAATTTCAATATCATAAAGTGGAGTTTGATGTTGTAATTAATACAAAAATATTTTCTTTTTTTCTTTTTTGGAGCTATCTGGGAAAATACAGTTTATATATTGAGGTTATAGAAAAGCATTAAAAACATATTTTTTCCTTTACCTTAATTTTGTTCTCAACTGTGTGCTTAAAAAAAAAAAAAAAAAAAAATTCTCAGCCACTCTGTCACCCCCTGGTGGCCCGTTTAAAACCCCCCACTAATTTTGGAAAATCACTGACTTTTTTTCCCCTCCCATCATCGTCATATTATTATTTGTCATATAAAAGTTTTGAGCTATATATATATATATATATATATATATATATATATATATATATATATATATATATATATATATATATATATATATATATATATATATATATGCGTGTGTGTGTGTGTATTTTTTATTTATTTTTAGAATGCACCCTGATTTTACCTAGGTTAAAGTCTCCTGTTCGCAAAAATAAACGTTAGAATTTATCATATTTTTTAGTGTAGGGACAAAAAAAACAACAAACAACGGTAAATGTTTTATTCGCTACGTGACAAATCAAAACGTTCTCCGTCATTAGTTTCGTTTTCCTCATAAAAGAAGGCGTATTGTTTTTAGTCTTCTAATGAGGTCAGATCAGCTGTTCCAGCAGTTCAGCACAGACGCATTTTATTATGGCTTCCACAGAGTTAGTTATCAGCGTCCTGTGTGACAACTACGGATGTTTGGCTTTCGAACAGCTGCTAGAACTCGCTCAGAGCAATTTCGGCTTTGAGGTGACAGACCTGCGCTCAGTTCTTTTCGACGATGGTAAAATAGCGATTCGAGAAGGAAAGCAGCCAGCCGCCAGCGGTAATATGATCAGGCCCGATAGTCTGGTTGTTGCTAAAACCAGTTTGAGGCTTTGTCAGAAAAAAGCTGGAGAATGCGCCCAGTGTGATCGCTTACACCTGTGTAGGTATCTTGTAGTTGGAAACTGCACTTTCGGGTAAGTTGATTAAACAGTTTTTGCCCACTTTGATAAATATACATGCACTTTTAAATGTTTTGTATCAATGTTGAATAGAAGTAACAGTTGTTAATCATTAACTTTAAAATTTTCTATTTTTAATTTTTTTTCTCTGAAGGTCCACCCCCTTCTAGAGCAAAAACAGTTGAAGGAAACGTACTGTGGTCATTAAACACAGTTTGAGTGATAAATAAGAAAAGCTCTGCAACGAACTTAAAAAACAACAACAACAAAGCAAGTTTTCTAGCCCCACTTTTAAAATAAAATATTGTTATTCACTCTCAACCACGAGTCTACCTACCTACACATTTAACGCTTCATAAACAAAGATTGACACTACCTCTAAGAAATCTAAAAATCATTATTTTGTTTCAGGCAAGTTATTTTTTGTATTTATTCCAGAAGATGGCAGTGATGAACATTCTATTCACTTTGATCTCCTCCTTAATTTTAGATGTGATTAATCTATTCCTGTTAAATGGATATGTACCAAAGGCTTTTAAGGTTGCTGTAATTAAACCTTTGCTTAAGAAACTGTCTCTTGACCCAGATGACTGGTCAATTATAGACCTATATTCAGTCTTCCTTTCTTATCTAAAATTTTTGAGAAAGTAGTTGCCAAACAAGTGTGCGATCACTTACACCATAATGGACTATTTGAAGAGTTTCTCTCTGGTTCTGCTGGAAGTTTCTTCCTGTTAAAAGGGAGTTTTTCCTCTCCACTGTCGCTACAAGCATGTGTGAGGGATTGCATTTGAGTCAATGGGTTGATACAATCAACTGGTTTTCCTTAGATAGAAAACTTTGAATCAATTTGACTGTATGATCCGGTGAACTGTAAAGTGCCTTGAGATGGCATGTTTTCTGAATTGGCGCTATATAAATAAACTGAATTCAATTGAACATTTAAGATTACTGTCTTCAGAGCTATATACTCGTAAATCTGTTTTACATGTACTCCTAAGTCTTGGAACAGTTTTCATTGTCACGCCCTTTTATGGCATCTTCTAATTGGTCATATTTATGTTTTTAGTTTTCCTGGTCTTAGTTACCTCTCCCTGCATCACGTAAAGTCTTTACTCCAAGGTCAGCAGCTGGAGGGGCCCTGACAAGTTGGACTGGGGCCTCAACCTTTAAATTTCTCTTGAGGCTCACAGAAAATAACTATTAGGATTAAAAGGCCACAGGGTGTTTGGTTATTGGAACAGAAATACAATGTCAGTTTAAAATGAAGTACATGTATAACCAGTAATTCCTGGAGAATTGTGCAGAATTCAAAAACCTTGACGCTTTAATTATTACAAAAAAAGTTTTAGTTTTCGCTTTTTAATGACCATTAAGCACACAGTTGAGCACAATATTAATGTAAAGTAAAAAATATGTTATAAATGCTTTTCTATGACCTCAATATATAAACTGTATTTTTGCCCAGCCTCTCTGAGTCAAGACTTGGTGAAAAAATCTGCATGAATGTATTTGCAGTAGGCCTGCTGTATCATTCCACCAGACTTAGGCTATTTTCACCCTAATTATGTTTTTTTACGCTAGGTTACAACATTTTAAACTATGCCTGTGGAATATATTTTTTAACTATCCAGTTTCATCTCATGGATGGGTCTTTAGGGTCATAATGATGCTGAATGGTGATAGCTTCCCTCTCCCCGCTAATGAAAAGCTGCTGTGCAGTCTGATGCCACCCCCAGCTTGTCCCACGGTTGCTAAGTTCTTTTTATTTAAATCTTTTTTAGCACCACAGTTGGGATTTAAACAGTAAAAACAAATGTGTATTCCCCACCACCACCCACCCACCTCATAAATATGCACTACTGTGAGTTAATTTATCACATAAAATCTTGGGGAAATATATTAAAGCTAGAATTGTACATATCTATGAAGCTATCATCTAGAGTTTTTCTCGGATACTATTACATGATTTTTTTGTTTACTGTAAAATTGTATTTTATTCTTTAACTGGGTTCAATTTGTGACTTTAAGACTAAAACAAATTTTAAAATGGCTATATTTAAAGTGCAATTTTGCATTAAAGGATGCATTATATGTCTGAACACATTTTAGCCAAACTCTGTTTAAACACTTCAGTAGAAAAGTATTGCAATTTGGTTTTGAAGAATAATGAAAATGTACTTATAAATTACAACCAAAAATAACCTTTGCATGTTTTCTTTAGTGCAAAGTGTAAAAACCCACACAGCCTGGCTTTTCCACACAACGCTCGAATTTTAAAGAGATATGGTCTTCAGAAGTTAACAGATAAACAGTTGGTGCAACTTTTGCTGCAAAATGATCCTTCCCTCCTTCCTGAGGTAGGACTTGCAGACTCGAGTCCCATGATGGACATTTAACTTTTCTTATTTTAAGATTTGATGTGAAGATCCATTTTCTTTCAGGTATGTCCACACTACAACAAGGGCGATGGTCAGTTTGGCTCCTGCAAATTTGCCAGTGGCTGCAAAAAGCTCCACATCTGCCTGCATTTCTTACAAGGAGACTGTAAGTTTGGATCCTCGTGTAAGAGGCAACATAATTTTGATGAACAAGCGATGAAGCTTTTCAAAGGATACAGTGAGGAGAATATTCAAAACCTTTACAAGATCTATAGGAATAAATACATCATCATTGGTCAACTCGAGAAGCCAACTGCTGTTCCAGGTGATTAATTATTATTATAATTTGTTTTATAATTTGTGATATGTAGAATGAATGAATGAATATGTTTCCTGTAGTGCTTCCGGTGGCGAGAACCAGCCCACAGCAGCCTGTCCATCAGCCTCCTCAAAACAAACCTGCATCTCCGACTAAATCCGTCACCTCCTCTAAACCAATAACTGATGCAGAGCGAAACGAGATCTGCCTCTTCTTTATTCGCAGAAACTGCCAATTCAAAGGTATTAGCTGCTAACAGAGCTGGTATTCACCCTGACTTTTTCAATTTGGCTCATCCTGTACGGTTTTCTCTTGTGAATTCTGTCACAGAGAAATGCGGTCGTGTCCACTGGCCCCTTCCTTACAGATGGCAGGTTTTAGACAAGGATGGCAAGACCTGGAAGGACTTGGTTAACATGGAGGAAGTAGAGGAAGCATTCTGTGACCCATCATGTGATACGAGCTGCAAAGATACACCTGCAACAACATCCGTATTGTCATGGTTTTTTCCTTCGCGAAGGTACAAATGACTCAGTAACTTCCTATTTAATTGAACAACACAGATATGTGCTCAGGTTCAGTGAAGCTAAAAGAGAAATACTTTTCTATCGCTGCGTCAAACAGTGAGCCTTATGTGGACTTCAAAACAATGACATACGGAGGATCTCCAGTTCGGCGCCTGTCCACAGCCTCCTCTGTCTCTAAGCCCCCATACTACATTTTAACCACAGAGTGGTTGTGGTACTGGAAGGAAAATGATGGGAAATGGGTGGAGTATGGACAAGTGAGTTGATAAAATCTTGTTTTGAAATACTGCAAATCTAATAATTGCAACAAAAAATGGTCCAATTTACCACCTTTTATCTATAGAACTTATTTTAAGATATATATTATCTACCTAATTAAAGCATAGATGCTGTCACCTGTTGAGATTAGATGGAATGATCCGAAAAAGCAATCTTGACAGGGTTTAATTGTAGAAATGAGCAAAAATAATAAAGTTGCCACAAAAATTCAAAATCATTAGATATTCAGAAAAAGACAGTTAAGTCTAAGTGTGAACGTAATGAACCCAAAAATTATCCTTCATAATACACAGAAAATTCCACAATGCTAAATATGCAGTGTCAAAGTACATTGACTCTTTTAGAGTTATTGCAACAACAACTGAAGTAAGATATACTCTTTGTAATAGAGTTAACACTAATTCGTAGTGGGACCAAATGCACTCTTAAAGTGTTACTTTGACACTGCAAAATTTACTGTGTATGAATACATGTAAAGAAAGATATTTCTAAAAATGAAGAAATAAATTGCTCTGAAAAAAGGAAAATGGTTAAAGCATTGAAGCATTGTATGTGTATCTTAAATATACCATGATTATAGGTCTTCCCAAGAAAAAGTTTAAAACATACTCAATACTGTTTTAATAGCTGTATTATTGAATAACTGCGTCATTAAAACAAGAATCTTTATTGTTATTGCTAAACCATTATCAAATGTGGCGGAGACTTAAGCTTAGCACACAGAGAAATTTAAGACTTACCGGTATATAGAAAAAATAAACACACTTGGAGAAAATAAAACATCTTCAGACGTGGGCCTTTTTCTAGAGTCATGCATTAACGGAGTCCAGATCTGGTAGACCGTATCCCACAATCCCCTGTGCCTCTTTGGACTCCTCCCCACCTTAAGTTCTCCCTCTCTTGTGCTGTGCAGCTTTCATACTGGATGCTTGCAGTTTGGCCTCTAGATGTCTCTAAGCAGCTAAGAAGAGAAACCAATCCATTTTAACTTCCTGAGAAAGTAGAGCCATTTTTGAGCTGTATTCAGTTGATGAGAGGAGTGCTCAATCCATGAAAGTTTAAAGGAAATGTGATTGCAAAGAGGAGCTTGTTCAGTCTTTCTGGACCTCCTTTAGTCCCTTATGACTTCCTCGATCACTTTAAAAGGGGTTTCCCTGGACCAGCACCATCAGATTGTTGCCCTCTTCACTATATCAGACCTACATTGCTATTGTTATTGAAGTTCTATATTAAAGTTGAGTCAGTTTCTAACAATTCTAGAATCAGGTCAGGTCTGTTAGTTAATTTTACTACTGTCTCAGTTTGCTGCATTTCTCATAGTTTCTCCCTCTCTGTGTTAATCTAACTGGTTTCAGTTAATTCGAATCAGTCCTTTCATTGGATAGAAGTCTTGGCTTCCAAACAACCAATGTCCAAACACCCAGAGGAGGAATGCAGCCCTTATTGACGCACCTCCATGTGTGAAAATGTTTGCCATAGAAAAGGCTTAGACAGGAGCAAGTCTATTAAAAGAGAATGAGGCATACCTCCTCTCTTAACTACATCAGCCCCTGGACAAAGTTGGACTTATGGTCTCACAGGGTTTTTGGATTCAGAGATATGTATGTTACATTTTCCTGTTTTTTGGTAATGTTGACCATTTTGGATCATTTAAACAACAAAAGCAACAGCCATTATTTAATTAATTTAATGATTTGATTTTTGAAAAGCTAAATGGAACAAAATTTACAGTAATAGTTACATGTCATAAAAATCCTAATTCCTTAACAGTTGTTTGGAAGATTCAGACTAAGTAGAAAAAAATGTTTTTCATTTAACTGATGACACATTCAACTTTATTTATGTGGCAAATGTAAAACTGCAGCCTTACTTAAGACATTTATGTTCTTTCTGACATTAATAGCTTTTATTTTGTCGGTCATAGCCTACTGACGTTTTTTTGGGGAAACCATATAATCTTGATTGTAGATTTCTGAAGAGAACAAATATATTAACCAAAACTGATACATACTGAATACTGATACATACTGATTACCTTATGACATAACAATTACAACAAAGCAGGGGAATGAAGAGAAAAGAGAATCTGTCCAATTGTCTATAATTTTTAATATTGGAAAAACACTGATGGCAACATGGATGAAGACAGGGCACTAAAAAACAGTAGATTATGGCTCATATTCTGTGATGCAAGGCATTCCCTTTTACCAGATTTAAATTTGCAGTTGGATATGTTTTAAGATCTTTTTTCAATGCTAATCCTACATTTACAGTAGTATTATTCATTGAAAATTTCCCCACTTTCCTTGATGGGGCCCTTGGCTGGTCCTCTACAATTCCCTTTTAAAGTCATAGGGAAATCATATTTAAATGTCATATAATTCTGGCTTAAACATGTATTTAAATATACTCTTTATCAGACCATATTGTCCCAAAAGTTAGAAAATCCTGTCTTAAAATCTGTGTTGTTTTTTTCCATTATTTTATGCAGGCCAGTTAGTTATACATCAGCTTGTACATCTAAATTCGACCAATCATATATCAACAATCATCTGTCAATCATGTGCCGAGTGTCATAGTATCTTGATTCATATGTCGCGGCTAATATACACAAAGGTTGAAATAAGAAATGAGAATAATTTACTTTACCATTGAGTCCCCATGTTCACGGGGATGGACGTCTGTGCCTTCAGCAGGCGTAGAGCTAACAGAACTGGCAGCGTGGTGAGACAAGGGCTCAAACATGTACGGCTGTAAGCCTTCTACACCAAACCAAGCTTCTGCTGCGCTGGCATCCTCTTCCACAACAACCTCATCCCCATCTTCCTCCTCTAAATAAAAAATCTATGTCAGAGGAGACCACAACCTCCAACACAAAACTCTCCTCCTCTTGCATGTTTCCGCTGTCCATAGCGTTCCTTGACAGTGTCATTGCTAAGTGCTTCTTGTTCCCAATGTAATTTCCCATTTGGAACCTACTAGCAGTTGCTGACTGGTTAGATGCTTCCCGAGACACTGGCTACAACCAAACCTGCTTGCAAACCTTCCACCACAACAAGCCTCCTTGATAATCTATCACATTTACTTTCTTCACTCATGTAAATTCGGGCACCACTCTGGAAAATTTGGAACCGTTAGAATAGCCGCTTCCCTATTACTTTAAACAAGAATCTTTGCACTAAAATATTCTTTCTGTCATGATTTGTGGGCATTAAGAGGAGCTTAATCTCCTGGTCAGACCCTGTAATTCAGTGAAAGGGTGAAATTAGAGTAAAGAAATGCACGCCCAGGAAAAGGCCAGTGGCTGGAAGTTGGAGAGGATTTTTGCTAGGGGTCGCAGAGAAGGGGGCTGCCATTCGGCTGGCGTTTAACTGGGAAGGGCCATTTTTAATGGCTGCTACTGTATAACTTTTATGTTCTGAATACCAGAACTCCTAAAGTATTCAACTGCTGATGCAATACTTCTGTATTGTCCTGTCTAAAATTTTTATTTAGATCAAAACTAGACTAAATCATTATTTTCTTATGGTCTTTACTCCAGTGCATTGAGCAAAAGAGAAAATTTAACCCTTAGCCTTTAAGTTGTGTGTCATTCAAAAGGAAAACTTTCATACTCGTGTACGATCTAGAACTGGTACATTTTTACTCAAGTAAAGGAGTTAAATCTGTCAGTCGTTTCTTTAACCCAGGTTTTTTTTACCTCCTACTTGAGTAAAGAACATGATTACTTTGGACACATCTGTTGATTGTTTTCTTTCTTGTGTGTTGTTTTTGTTATTAGGGTTCAGCAGATGCATCAATCACTTCTAAAACCCTGGAAAATGTGTACCTGGCAGATGGAGATGCAGAGATCCCTTTCCAGGCTGGAAACCAAAAGTATATTTTCCACTTTAAGGATGCAGTAGGAAACCAGCAAATGTATCAGCAGAATTTACAGTACCAGACCAAGAGGGAGGTCCGAAGGAGGCCTTGCTTTGTGTCTGCTCATGATGTGGAGCAGAAGCTCAAGAGGTATCCGCCAGAGACATGGATTATGATTATTTTTCATATTGGAGTTTCACTGAAATGATGCCTAATATATGCATCTTTTCTGTAGTGGGGCTTCACACACCTCTAGCTCCTCTGTCGTGGAAGATGTCCCATCCCATTGGGACAAGAGTGCTCTTCCAGATCTAGGATATAAAGTATCTGTATTTAATTATCTATAAAGCATTAAATTGATCTTTTTCCGATAATAGCTTTGAACAACATTTATTACAGCAACACTTGACTCTCCTTTTCTAGCTCCTACTTCTGTCCAAAGGAGCAAAAGATTACAATATGATTGAGACATTGTTCAAGCGCACCATGCCTAATGGTATCATTGCAAGCATCGAGAGGATTCAGAATCCATCTCTGTGGAAAGTCTTTCAATGGTAAACTAACTGCATGCAGATGAATATGCATTGTTTCTCTTTGTGGTAAAAACTAAATAACCATACGTTTTTACATTGTGTGCTGTATTTTCAGGCAAAAGGAGCAGATGCAGAAGAGGAATGGAGGGGGACTTGTTAATCAGCAATACTTGTTCCACGGGACAGAGGAGACAATTGTTGATGCCATATGTGAGCAAAACTTTGACTGGAGGATGTGTGGCGTCCATGGAACAGCCTATGGCAAAGGTACTGTAGATAATGCAAGTGTCTCTATCAAAAGCAGCTAAAATTAGAATAACTCTAATCATTCCTAAAACTCGCTGTTTGTTCTAGGAAGCTACTTTGCCAAAGATGCATCCTACTCAGACAGATATTCCAAGGCTGGAGGGAGTCGAACCAAGACCATGTTTGTTGCACTGGTCCTGGTAGGTGAATACACAACTGGAAGCGGCAGCTATGTCCGACCACCACAGAAAGCAGGAAGCAAAGCTCTCTATGACAGCTGCGCCAATTCCGTCAGCAACCCCAGCATATTTGTGATCTTTGAGAAACAGCAGATTTATCCTGAGTATCTAATTAAATACAGATAATTCTGAACTGATCCCTTGTCTCAAGGTTTTGGTTGTGGTAATAAATGATGGTTGATAGTTTGACTGTATTTTTTTAAGGAAGAGTATATGAATGCTTAGACTGCCTGCTATGAGAAGCTATAGTGATTCATTTGTTTCCTCTTTCCAGCCTACAGTTAATCTCACCCTTTGTCTGCTGTATTATTCTGCTCATTGTCTCTTTATTTACTTAATTTGAGGCAAGTCTGTCAGAGTGAGTATAGTTTAATGTTTGCTCAGTGAATCATCAATATTCTTAGGTTAAGTGGGCTAAAACCTTTTATTCTTTTGCTCTTAAAGTCTTTGTGGTAATCTTACTGCAAATATTTTCTTTTTTGGTGTAACTTTTCCTACTTAGAAAAAATCTAATTCTTTATCATAGGTACAATTCAACTGTTAGAGATAAAATGGGGAAAACCAAAAAAGAAAGAAAACATACTGTGAGAGTTAATTTGCAATTAGGGAAAATAATAAAACAAAAGTCAGGCTAATTACTTTGTAGCATAACCTTTGTTGTCAAAGACAGAGTTTAAATGTTCCCAGAGAGTCGCGAGAAGGTTTGATCACACTATGTCGGGTATTTCGGCCTATTCATACAGATCTCCTTTAAAGCAGTGATGTTTTGAGGTTGTTATTGGGCCACACAGACTTTCCCTCCACAGAGCCTTAAAATTTTGTTTTTTTTTACTGTGCCATTCCTGTATGAACAGAGTGGTGTGTTTAAGATGTTATGTTGGAAGACCCAGCCTCATTCCATCTTAGATAGTCTCACTGATGGACAAAGGTTTTGGCTTAATAGCTCATGATGCACAACGCCCTTCATTCTCCCCTTAAAATGTGTGAGTTTTCTTAATACAGAAAAACTCTAAAGTTTACTCTGATGTAACTTATCCATTCATTGTATGTGCAGAGGTGTATGTGCGGTAGAGGACATACAGAAAAAGCAATCTTTCACTAAAATAAAATTAGCCCCTTCTTCAAACCATTGTATCCCACTGAATAACAAGATTTATATGAGATATGTTGCTGTCTGGTTAGGTTTAAGTGAATCTTGATCTGAATGATTGGGAATATCATTTGACCCACTGTGTTTGCTTTAGAAATGATTGGTTACTTGGTTTTGCACATTATAGTGATAATTAAGCAGACGTATGTGTTTAGTGGTTGTTTTTCTTTCCGTTTATAGGGAACAGTTTAATGTTATAAAAAGGAGGCATTTACAGTGATGCATCTGATCTCATATTTGTAAAATATAGGCCCTGTTTCTTGTCAAATAAAGGTAATACACGTGTGTTGTTTTGTTTTTGCTCAGTTTTTATTCCAAACAGTTTTTGACCTTAGTTATAAGATATTTTAACTATTTTGTTTGACAGTCCATCACAGGGCAAGGATAGAAACTACTTATGAACCAGATGTAAACCCACATTCATTTTGTGCTATTTTCTAGAATAATCTAAGGTAAATAATTTAGAACAAATGCTATGGTGTTTAAATGTGGAATCAAAATAAATGTGGTATTTATACACGTAATGCCTCATATAATAACCTTTCAGTTGCAAATTGGTAAGTTTTTACTCATATTATGTAAAATCCTTTTTATTAATTGACTAGAAGCACTTACATTTTTACTTACATTTTAATATGTATTAATTGGACCTGGTCTAATCAAGAGTTAAAGCAAAAGGAGAAAATAAAATATTTAAAAAACATTCATTTAATTTTGTATTAACCGTGATTATTGGCTAGCATTGTTGTTTTTGTTTTTTTAGATTTAATTGTTTATATTCTTTATAAGTGGAAAATTACAGAAATTTTTTTCTACTTGAGCCTAACATCTACTTGGATATATATCATTTATAAACTCCATTTGCTAGTTATTAAGATACAAATTCTTTCAGATAGTTTGAACGTGTTTTATTTTGAAGGGGCTTCACCGGAAAGACATTGTCTTCTCTTTCCGGTTTTCTTGTCCTGAGAAGGTGGTCCTCCTTGGATTGAAAAACAGCTTCCAGGAGCAGAAAACGACTAGAAAAGTTTGGGAACTTCATTAATACTCTCAAACACGTATTAAACAGCCTGCTTACAACAAATACTCTGTTGACAAGTTGCCATCGAAGTCGGCGACGGGATTTTGAGTATTTTTAACGGGGGGCTGAAGTTGGGAAAGTGTGGGATGAAAATGGAGAGCCCAGCTGAGTGAGAGTGGGGTGAGGAGGCTGGATTTGGCAGCAGCTGCTGCTAACAGGCTAATTAGCATGGTCACACACTTATCCGGTAAGTTTAGCCGTTAGTTTTTAAAGTCACTTTTTTATTTTTAATCACGGCGTTGTTGGTTGTTGGCGTTTGAACTCTGACACTCTGCTACATCCTGCCGAAATGGAAGAGTCTGGTTAGTTTTGACAGCGTAAAAAACAAAAAAACAAATGTAACGGGCCTATGTTTAAAAGAAGAAGAAAGAAAACAGATAACGCTGTGAAACAATTTTCCAACATGTTTCTTCTACTTTTAATTATCGATTCCAAAACATTTTTGATGCATAAAATTATTCTTATCTGTTTAGAATGATGTTTTGATCCGATATGATTAAATGTACGCCTTTGTTCATTTTTAATGAACCCTTTATTATAACTAACTGCAGTTAAAGCTACAGTGTGTAATAATTACAGGCATATAAAGTCAGAAATTTAATATATTATACATAACTATGTTATTTATCATCACCTATGAGCTCAGCCTTTTAACCATAATATTTGCGTTGCCTTAGAATTCGTTATTTATAATTACATAGGAGCGGGTCTCGCAGCCATGGAGGCAGACATCTTTGCGCTACGGCAGCGCAGAGGCAACAAACTAGCGATTGCGAGATCTCCCATGACGCTCGAAAATAACTACGGCAAGTTGAGAGAGATGAACTGAGACGGTACTGAACAGTAGATGGCAGTATTATGCCTGAGAAGCGTTTAGTCTGCCTGAAACCAAAGAAGAAGAAGAAGCAGGTATACTGCGCCTCAGTAACAAGAAAGGTAAACAAGGCGGCAGGCGTGAGTGACTTTGCAAACTGTTTGGCACTGTGTGGCCAAACATCAGACGAATGGAGGATCATGCCTACTCTGTATCACAACGAAAAGCGGCGGACACCGAACCCCCGTCATCTAAGAAACGGAAACACGACGAGAATAAACGCAAGAGTGACAAGAAACGACAAAAAACACGGATCAACATTGGCACGGCATTTACACGATGGAAGTCACTGATGGAGGAAAAAGGTTTTCAAAGTGACGCTCAAGTTGCCAGTTTTCTCTTGGACAGGTAATTAATCCTACACACACAATTGTCTAATATCACTGCAGTTTTTGGAGTACAGGATGCTCAGACCTGTCTAAAACAATAACATGCTGCGTGATGATGCTGTTACTCTCCAGTATACTTATTCAGCAACGTCCCTGACGTTTCACAGGTAATGATTCAGTAATTTTCTGTAAAATAATTTTCTGGATATATACCTCGGTTACTTCTCTCCAGCTCCTTTGGAGATCTTCAAGCCTTTCCTCCTCTGCTCTCACCCCGCTGGCTCCCCTCTCTCGCCTGGCCCCAGCTGCACGCTCACCCCGGCCTCTCTGCCCTCTTCCTTTCCCTCTTCCTTGCCTTGTAACCCCCGTGCCACAAACAAGACTTGGACTCTGTAAACGGGGAATATATATTCTTCCAGCGAACACAATCTCGCTGTTAAACTAATGACTACAATTACTTCGTCTGTTTATATCACCATGCAAAGCAGCTCACCAAAACGTCACAACGACGTAGAAAAAATAACGGGTATATTTATTATCTTAAGTCTACATGAAATCTATACCCTAAACAGACTAATGAAATACTATCTGTAAAATTATCTATGTAAACAAACCTCATCACTTGAGAAGGTAGGTGATGCGGACGTCGTGGAAGACATTTTGTCCTGTAACGCTCGCCGTACTGTTGGGAGGGAGAAGCGGTGGGGGGGGAGACGTTCATGTTACTGCAGTCTGCAGTCTGACCGCTAGATGTCGCTGAAAATTACACACTGTAGCTTTAACAAATACAATGGTGGTAGGTGATCATTGCCAAGATGATTCTTATTATGTTTATGTGTCAGAAAACAATTTATTAGCCCACTATCTAAAATAATATTGAATTTGAAGTTAGAAAAATGTAATATAAACTTAAATTAATTATTATTTATGTAGCAGTTTAAGCATAAAAAATGTAACAGAGTCAAAATTTCTTTTCAGTTTTTTTTTCTCCAGTATTTATTGGCCAAAATAAATTTGAAGGATTTTGTATGAAGTAACACCTCCAGTATGTGAAAATATATTAAAAACAACTATCAGTATTTATGAAAACATAAACACTGGATTTATAACGTTAAATTTGGTTTAAAAAGTGCAACTCCAAAGTAAGATGTATGTTTATACACCATCCATTTAATGAAAAATGGCCCTCCAGCTTACAGATCACATATTTATTAGTTGTTTGACTTAATAGGATTGATTATTCTAAGTGATTTACACAACTAAATGGAATTTAAAGAAAATTCGTAATAGAGGTTTGAAATGCTTCAACAAATAGTAAGTTTTCTGGTGAGTTTTAAATTTTAATTTAACTCTTGTTTAAGTAGCTAGTTCACATGGGTCAGTATGCAATGCTGTTTTAAAATGACTTTGATCAACCTATATGAGTATTCTCTGAGACCAGCATTGACAGATTACCTGAGAAATCTATTCAGATTATTACTAGGAAGACTTGAAAATGTTGGAACTTTTGGATGGAGGGCTGGTTTGAGTTAATCCATTGCAGAGTGAGGAGTTATGGGGGAGGGGTTGAGCCCATGAGACAAAAACACATTTTAAAAACATACATGAAAGTTTGATCCTAAAACATAAAATTAACAAAAATTCTGCTGAAAAGTAATATATTTATCATCAGAGGTAAAATACTTATTTTTTTAAAACCAAACTGAGGGGGAAAAGTTCATATTTGCCAGTAAAAAAAAAAAAGAATCATCCAATTCTGCTTGTTTACAATTAGCGCACTGATACCCTTTAAACATTTTTTTGTCTTAAATGTCCTACGACATGCATTTATTGCATGTTTTTAAGTTGTGCTGAACTAGGGCTGGGTAATTAATCAATAAAATCCATTAATCGAGTTTTTAATAAATATTTCATTTCTGGAAAATCATGAATCTTTTACCAACTTGTTTCACAGCTTGATTTCACCTCCTTTTGAACGAAGGTAATGTCCCAAAGGAGATGAATGAAAACTTTAGCTAGTTTTTGAAATTATTTATTTCATTTGCCAATTTTATGTGAAACTTAAGGGAGTGGGAAAAAAAGATTAATTAGATTTGGTTGGAAAAAATAAGAGATTAGATTTTTATACCATATCGCCCAGCCATAAACTGCATCTCTGTTTGAGATCGCCAGGGGAAAATTACCCCAAACTAATGTTCTGTTGATGATATTGGTTGTTGGTTCAGCTGTCATCTGGTCCTCTGGTCCTAATGGACCAGAGGACAATTGATGACTGGATTTCCCCTGAAAGTTTGGAATGAGAACTGTGGATAACATTTTAGAAAAGTGGTCTGTCCAAGGCAAACAAATTACTTTTGAATTGGACTTTCTGTGCTGTTAATATCTATAGTGATTGTTCTAATGCAGTCCTCTTTAAAAAGAGCCTGGTAGGTTCCTGAAGGGGTCTCCCTGCCAGCAGACTGAGCAACAGGGGAGCTGAGACTGAAAAAATAAGAACATCCCCACAAAGAAACTCACAGTGCACCATGTATTCATGACTTTCTGGCTGAAATTCAGGTGTTTATTCATGAAACGTAGCTGCTGATGCCAGCGCCTCTGGACTTGGATGGGAGTAATCTGCCTGATTCCTGAACGTCTGAGCGTGGGTTCAGCCTGGATGTTGGACGTCCTCGGTCCCTTGATTCATCTGTCGCGGTGATGAGGCAGGACTCCTGGTGGCCTGTGTGGCTGGCTGGGCAGCAGCCCAAGGTGATGTGATGGGGTGCCGGAACAGCAAGGTTCTCCCTGAGCCTCCAGGGGACGTTCAGTTGGACCTGGTCAAAAAGGTCAGTGTAAATTAAACCCTTAAGGTGCTAATGATTGCTATATTGCACTATTGTTTTTTTTCTTCTTTTTTTTATACTTAATTCTAAATGCAACATCTACTTTTTTTGTGCAGTTTTGAAATAAGTGAATAGAATAACTTTATCTTGTAGTAAAACTCTGTTGCTCAAAGCAGCTGAACTAGGAGAAAAGACATTAAAAACAACCAAAGATACAGTCCTCTATAGAACTATATGACATAGAGAAGACAGGGAATAAAGTGTAAAAGAATATAATGGGGGTAATCTCACAGTACTGATGAGTTCCCAATAAGTATAACGATAATTTGCATATATTAATGATTAAAGAGAGGAGCAGATTGAAGTCACCACTCTAACAATGCTGCAGGAGGCTATGGGAAGGTTCTCAATGTCGTTCAGGTCATTATACTAAGCTCCAACCTCCTGCCCAGCACTGAGGTGGCCCTTTTAACCAATTTGTCCAAATGCTAAAGAGTTCTTGTCTATAAGGCAGCCAAGTAAAAAAGTGTGCTGGTCAGTTTTGTGTGGTAGAACATTGTCAACAACCGAACACACGCATATCGAGCATCAAAAGCCAATAATCCTTCATTAATTTTATGGCGTGTGTCCCGGAGGCAACCAGAGAAATCGTTAATGTTGTTTTAATTTTGTGTTCTTTATTCTTCAGGTTGATCCACAGCCTCCACAGACAGATATCTACAAGCACTTCATTCGAGGGGATGGCACTGGAAGCAAGACTGGTGAGGCAGGTGCCATGTCAGCTGAAAAGCCCGACCTTACATGCACATATCAAGGCCAAGCTCAAGCTGCGTCTCCCACTTCAGCTTTGGCTCAGACCCCTAAGGACCCCTCCAAACTGTCGGACCCTCAGAGAAAGAAGGTGGCAAAGTATCGAGCTAAGTTTGACCCCCGAGTCACGGCGAAGTACGAGATAAAAGCCCTCATAGGTCGCGGGAGTTTTAGCAGAGTTGTTCGCGTGGAGCACAAGAGCTCAAGGCAGCCGTACGCCATCAAGATGATCGAAACACGTTACCGGGAGGGGAGGGAGGTGTGCGAGTCAGAGCTGTGCGTCCTGCGCCGTGTTCGTCACACCAACATAATCCAGCTGATGGAGGTGTTTGAGACAGCAGAGCGCGTCTACATGGTAATGGAGCTGGCCACAGGAGGGGAACTGTTTGACCGCATCATTGCTCGCGGCTCCTTTACAGAACGAGATGCCACACGGGTCCTGCAAATGGTGCTGGATGGTGTGAAGTATCTCCACGCTTTGGGGATCACTCATCGGGACCTGAAGCCGGAGAATCTGCTGTACTACCACCCCGGAGCCGATTCCAAGATCATCATCACTGACTTTGGTTTGGCTAGCAGTAGGAAGAAAGGAGACGAGTGTCTGATGAAGACCACATGCGGTACGCCAGAATACATTGCCCCAGAGATCCTGGTGAGGAAGCCCTACACGAACGCTGTGGATATGTGGGCGCTGGGGGTGATCTCGTACATCCTGCTGAGCGGAACCATGCCTTTTGAGGACGATAACCGCATGAGGCTCTACCGGCAGATCTTAAAGGGGAAGTACAGCTTCTCTGGAGAGGTAAGAATCCACATCTGTAACCTTCTTCTTCTTCCCCCATATTTGGAATGCATGCTGCACTCTGCAGGAGGGATTATCAACAGATTGACACAAGAAGTGCAGCTTGACAAAGTTCCCCACACAGGCTCACTATACAACTTATCCACTCTACTCTCCAATCCCACACTTAGTGTTTATCCCTCAATAGAATGAAGAGGTTTCTATTAAGGTGCTCTCAGAAAGCATCAGCAGAGTGCAAAATTAAAAGTATTTATCTACAAATTGGGGGTAAGCCGGCAGACATCTTTTAACTTTCATCCCAACATCTATTTTCACAAATTAAAAACATCCACTCCTGGTTATACATTTTCATTTTTGTAACCCTGTTTATGTTTCTCATGATCTTACAATTCTGGCCTGATTTGAACTTGTTACTCTTCTGATTATTATTTCAACAAAGCACTGTTAACTGTATCAATGTGTAGTATTTGCTCTGTAGCAAAGGAAAGATTACTCATGGGAACTGTACAAAATAGATTTGATGGCCCATCATTTCCCTTGGTGCTTGTTACAAACCACTTTCTTTTACAGCCGTTAGCTAAGCTTCGTTGCTTTTTATTGGGGTTTGTTACATTTAAGTCCAAAGCAAAGCACTTCTATTTGTGAATATTTAGTCTTATTTTTTCAGTTTTTTTTTTTTTCTTTTAGATGCTGCCTCAATTTCCTTCCACATTATAACTATACTTCCTTGAGTTAAGGAGGCTTTTCTCCCTGAATTACTCTGAAGTCAGAACAAAGTCCCTCTGAAAAACCATCCTGAAAATGATCATGCGCTGGAATCGAATAAGTCAAAAAGCAGCCAGAGACGCCCCCGCCCCCTAAAAGAAAACTGGCAGACATTTAGAGTCCCTGAAGAGCTATTGATCAAGACAAATTAAAAAAAAAAAAAGTTGGATGAAGACTTTCCCTCTGTTTTCTTTATTCTTTATAATCCTCTACAGCTAGAAAAAGTGCCAATGAGTCTGTTCTCTTCTATAAAGTATAATAATACTTCTGTTGAACTTTCTCAGAAAGCCCCTCCGTTAATCTTTGCCCCTCGTGTAGACAGTTCTGTACAAACAACTGTCGGTTTTGCAATATGTAATGAGAAGCTGTTGAGTCATTTTAATTTTCTGGGGATTAACTTGTTGTTCCTGATGGTTTAAGTGAGTCCCAACCTGACATATTTATCCCTGAAGCCCCTTCTTGGAGGATATGTTTTCATGGCTTTGGACTGGGAAAGTCTGTGAGTCAATCCAATTTTTGGGGGGTATTTGGACGGGCATTTTTACTAAGAAAGTAGCTTTGTAGCCCTTTTTTTTGTAGTAAAATGCTCCAAACTGAGTGAAAAAAATTTTTAACCAGAAATCTGGCAATTCTAAAGATTTATTTTTTTACGAAATGATAGTAGTATTTCAAAAACATTCTAATTTGAGACCTTAATACTCCTCCAGATCTAGACAGGCTAATATCTGTTAGCTTTGCAGGGGTTTGCAAAAAAATTAAAAAGATAACTGCTTATATTTCAGACCTGAACTCACCATAATCCCCTTTCTTATAATGTCTCTGAGAGCTGTGTTTTTAACTGCCATAATCCTGTTTTAAGGCCAAACTAGATATGCACAAATCAGGTGGTTACAGAAATTGTAAAGGTTTGTCTTGTAGTGTTATTTATTTATTTATTTTCCTTCTTTGTTAAAAGTAGTTGGTCCAAAGCTTTCTTTAGATATGAAACCTGCGACACTGTAGCTGATGCGCCTTTATTGAGTTAAATAAAGAGAGAAGGGTTTTGATGTGTTAACAAGCATAATCTTGTATTTTCTATGTTTTTGTGTGTGTTTTTTTTTCTGAGCAAGAAGCTGCATCACCTCGATATATCCTGATGGTGCTAATGTGCTTAGAAAGGTTTGGAAAGTTAGGCCACAGAAGAAAACAGGAAATCTGTACCGGCAGAGAAAAGCCTGATTTTGTTAATCTCTAGTCTTTTATTTTGAAAGACAGAGCATAAAAGAAGAGGGGAAAAAAACCTAACATAAAGTTGACCAACTCTGGCTTTAGGCTAAGCTAATAGTGTTTGCTTGGCTCGGAGTAAGTTACAACATCCTACATATTTTGCCCTTTAAATGAAGAATTTATCAGTCCTGAAAAGAAAATCTCAACTCGAACATTTCTAAGAAATATGGGCCAGAGCGTAGGAGTTTCAATATAAAAGACTTTAATGTGTTCCCCTTTGGGATTGGGCTCCCGACAGCTGGGATAAATAATCTTCCCATTTACAGCTGCAGTCCAGGAACTAGTCATAGCTGAGACATAGCTGTGGGAGGGTAGAAATATATGTGTTTTATACGTGTCGCATATGTTTGGCCAGGCCTGGTGATTTATCTGCTGCATGTACAGAGAGAGAGAAACTGAAAACACAGCTGGTGGCCAAACAGGGCTAGGTGAACAAACTCTGTGTGAATGTTGTGGTATGTGATTCCTGCCTAAGCAGGGGGTTGGATTTGACTCACTACCAGTCACTGGTGCCGAATAGAGTTTATATCTCACTACAACAGAACAATCGTTACTGTCAGATTAAATGTTTTGAGAAAAATGAAACTCAAACACATAGAGACATGTAAAGAATCAAAATGTAACTGACAATGTGTGGGGATCCAATCAAAGTTAAACACAGACTCTCACAAAAATGTCTTTTGACTTCAGGGTTTACTGACGCAGATCCTGAGCTCTGGGGTTCTGCCGCCATCTGCTGTTCAGATAACAGATCTGCAGTCGAGTTGGAGGAAGATATGTTTTCTTATCACAAGAGGTCAAAATCGTTACATTTATCCAGAAAAATAATACCAGATTCAGACTCTTCACCGCCAATATAGATGGTTGAGTACAGATATTCCCCACAAGCTAATGGAGAGATTTATGGCATCATTAAAAGCATCAATATACCATTGTTATGCTATTCGCTGTATATTAAACTGCATTCATTTATACCATTGCTCATAAATGGAGCAGTCTTATATTTTTTTTAACTGATCACTATTGCCTAATGATTAAAATTAGGGCTAAAACAATTAATAGATCAATCTATTATTAAAACAATCACATAATTTTCATCTCTCAATATGCTTTTTACAGAACTTGTCAAGTGGAGAAGTTTTTGTTAGTTTCACCTGGTTTATTATTGACATCTGTCACTGAATTTTTATTTTATAATTTTTTTTTCTTTCATTTCCTGTCTCATCCTTTCGCAGCCTTGGCCCAGCGTGTCCAACCTGGCCAAAGACTTTGTAGAGCGGATTCTGACTGTGGATCCCAGCGAGAGGCTGACGGCCGGCCAGGCCCTCAAGCACCCCTGGATCATCAGCATGGCAGCATCCTCCTCTATGAAGAACCTGCAGCGCTGCATATCTCAGAACCTCTTGAAGCGGGCCTCCTCACGCTGCCAGAGCACCAAGTCGGCCCAGTCCACGCGCTCCAGCCGCTCCACCAAGTCCAACAAAGCTCGCAGGGTGCGAGAGAAAGAGCTCCGCGAGCTGAACCGTCGATATCAGCAGCAGTATAACGGCTGATGGAACTGCAACGGTTGTTTGACTATAAAAAGTGTCTTAAAAACAACTTGGACATAATGGTGTTAATGGCCAAATAATGTATAAAGAATGTCGATTTAAAACAAGCATTCCTAACAGAAAAAAACTCTTGATGAAGACGAAGGTTGGATCATTTGGTTGTTTCTTCTCCATCGGTTACCAGTGTCGCTATTTATTTATTATTGTGATTATAAATCTCCCTTCAAACGGTCACTGGGTAATGACCTTCCAAATGGATCTGTTGAACAGAGTTCTGGACACTGATGTTTCTAAGAAGCAAATGTGCTCTTTAAAGTAAGGAGAAACAAATTCTCCTTTTTCTTTCTGATCAAAAGTGCTGTGAATTTATTATTGAACTCTTTGTATAGACCTTGTGATGTTGTCGGTAATCAGATTATAGTAAAACATAATCACCATCTGAAGGATAACATGAAGGCATATTTGTAGTTAGTAGTTTTAACTAATCTGTTTTTTTGGTTCCTAAGCTGTCAAAAGATTGTGAATCTGTTAACATTTAATTTTAGATGTATTAAACACTAAGATGTGTCCCAACCTCCGAATCCTCATGCTATGTCACTTTCAGTATGCAAGCATCAGCTAGTGTTTTATAGACAAAACAAATTTAAACCTTCCAGGGATGGATAGGTTTTGTTCAAAGGTCATCAGGGAGCCGGTCTTTCTTAGCTTGATAAAGTCTTAAATTGTGTTTATGCCATAGAAGTAAAAATAACGGTTTTGCAGACGACAATGTGAGATCAGGGGTCCTTTGCAAAATGACAACAAAAACATGGTGTTTTAAAGATATGATTTTAGTATAGAGAACCTTAGGGTTAAAGATAGGGATGTCCTGATGACATCAGAAATGTGCCGATATTAGCCAAAGAAAATGCATTTTGAAATCTATATCAGCCTCCAATAGCTGATGGAAACACTCCTAGAGTTAACATAACCCATTGGTTAATAGCAAATAGGTTAGTCTTTCTCATACCAGTTGACTATTTTTCTGACTAAAAAGCTTGATCAAGCATTTTCTACTATGAAATATGTAATAAAAGTATGTAGGATTTGTGCTGATGCTGTATCAGGTCTATATTGGTATCAGCCAATACTTAAAGCTGCAATATTAGTATCATAGAAAAATATATATTTAAGGAATCTAATCTAAAAGGAAAAGCATGTTAATGGCAGCCTAATACCATTAAAGGGCCAAAAGTTGTTGTGAGATTTCAGAATAAGTGAAATCAAGATTCTTTATAACTTTCATATATAGAATTATTATTTTTCATCCAAGTTACCTGTAGTGAATTTTCTGCATTTATGTAGCTCCGTTTAGAAATCTTAAGGCAATTTTCAAGACTAGTGTGTTCAAGAAATATCCAAAGATACAAAAATTGGAGAAAAGATAAATCGACTTTATATCAAAACAATTATTTTGTGCAGACTAGTGACACGCAACGTCTAAATGAATTGTTACCATGCAGTGATAATGTCTAAATTTTGCATTTATGATTTGATTTAAAACTAGTGCAGGTGCAAAAGCCACGAACAACAGTTGCCTACAGAGTAATATGTTTTGTTAACACGTGAGGTCTTGAGCCTGACATTTAAGCAAAAGATTGTCAGGGTCAGTTGTACAAATACAAAAATAATGCAATATTAAATCGTGTTTCTTTATGTGACCTAATATAATCTCAAAGAGTTTTTAGAAATGAGTTGAAAAGACAAAACGGTGCATCTAAAATCTGTTTTTGACATTTAAATTTTATCATATAGATATAGATAGTGAAGCTTGGCTGCTCAGGATGTCTCCTGTTGATGTTGCTGTGATTAATTTGGCCCGTTACTGCCACCTAGTGGTAGCAACTTAGTGCTGTTTAAACAATTTGTTCATAAAACTTTTTGCTCTTTTAAATATATCCAATTTTTTTAAAACAGTGTGAATTCTCAAAAGTCACTGACCTTGCCCAGTGTCAGTAGTTGTGTTTTTTCATCGCGTTCTTCTTAGCAAATGGTCAGGTAAATATTGCATTGCTGAAGAGGATCTGAATATTAATTGTGTGAATGCTGTAAATTAGTGATGGGTTAATCAAGCATCTTGATGCATTTCAACACAGTATCAACTATTGATACTGTCTTACAGACTACTGGCATCTGTTGGACACTACAGGCTGCTTATTTTACAGACTTAATTGATTTGAGGTTACTATGTAGGTTTGAAGTTATTGAAGGTTATATTGTAATATTTAATGTCTATGTTTAAATTGGAAATATCTATGATAGTTTTAGATGTAGCCAATAAATAATGTAAACATATGAGAACATTTAGTGAATGAGGATGTTTGTGGACTAGGTTTTTTAATCAATTTTATAGCAAGAAGTACAGTTAAAAAAAATTAGATAAACTAAGAGTGAATTTGAAATTAACTAATTAATTAATTCAGGTCAGTTGTGTTATAACTGAGAGGAAAAGTATAACACAACCAGAAAATTTAAATAAAAATCTAACAGTTGAAACTTTCTTACTCCTTTTAATAATTTTAATGATAAACCTCACATTTTTTTTTTTTTTTAGCAGAATCATAATCTTGACAGATACCTTTTGAAAGACAGTTTAGTGTGTCAGTCAGTTAGAAACATCTCCTGTATTGGTCACACCAATAGTGTTTTGCTCTATGGGCACGGTGCATTCACTGACGCATCAGTGTTGCTGAACCCATCACTACGGTAAAACAGGGTTTGAGATCTACTGAGATCTTGTAACTCTTTATCCTCTGCTGCAAGAATGACATTGATATGCCTTTTTATGCCATTTATGAGCATTTGTTCAGTATAAGATCCCCTATGCAATAGAACAGCGACAGTAATGGGAAACATTATGTTGCAGCAGCTGCATCTCATTTTAATAAACACTTGGGGCTTTAAAATCCTCAACGACACACTTATTTGAATCGCCGGCTCTCCAAAACCAATTTCATGTACAAACATGAGATTTGGCACACAACATCTTCAGACCTTTCTTGCACTCGCATTGAATATTTTTTAAATATTAGATATCATAATATGGCCCAGCTGCTAGGGCATCAAAACTCTTTCACCAAAAAAGTTTCAAATTGAAATCTTTCAATACGAAACCCTTGTTTATACGGTCACTATTGCCACATAAGATTTAAAAGAAATATGAAAGTTGGTATAATTATTCATCAAAGTCTGCTGATTATTCTTATTATTTCTGTATCTATTAGAATTTTTGATTTATTTATCATAGTTCAACACAAAGTTTTGCCGATTTTTTCACATTTTGCAATTATTTCACAGGGTGGTGTCTTTTTAAAAAGACACCACCCTGTAACAAAAAAACTGCCCATAAATATCCTCCCCCTATCCCTTCTGAATTAAACAATGTAAGAATTACATCGATATACCTTTATATTTGTTAGATTTTATATGTGAACCGTTTATAAACACTTCTAAAGGTCAATAAAAAAACTATCCTATGGATATTTTGTAATTTGATCACACTCAATTTGGTTTAGCTCAAAATCTTCAATACTTAGACTCTTCAAACCTGAAATTTAGAATATTGCTTGGTACTAATCGAAGAACATTTCAACTGTGTTTGAGTTGTGAACCCATTATTTATTTATTTTTACAGATCAATAAACATCTATTACAGATCTTATTGCAATCTGGTCAACATTTAACTAGGCCCGGGTCAAAAACTCAAAAATCTTGATTCTTCAAACCTCGACTGTATTGGGTTTATTTTTTTTTTTATAATAGAAGAACTTTTAAACCTTTGTGTTGAATTGCTGATCCTTTGTACGACTTTTTAAATGTCATTAAATTCCTGTTCTGACTGATCCAGCATGAAAGCTGCATCATCTAGACTCCATAAACCTAGACTGTATTATTCTACACTAGGATTAGAATCCGTCAAATCCACTTTGTGATTTCTAATACCTTTTTTTTTTTCATTTATGGAGATGCGTTATTTACTTGGCTTTTTTAAGCTTCTTTAACTTGTCAACACTTTAAATTTCTAATGCAGTTTTTCTTCTAAGTGTTGTGTCTTCAGCTTTTTTTACAACAGATCTTTCCTGCTTTTTTTTTTCAAATTTTCTTGCATATCCACACTTCGTTCATTATTTAATCAAATTCGCATCCATATTTTCTCCTTCTGTATGCTTTTTAATTCCTTGTATTTCTTAAGTCTCTTTGATTTTCAATATTTCAATGGTTATTTAAAAAAAAAAAGTAGTTTTAGGATAACTTCAGCTTGTGAAGTGGCATTGACGCTAAGCCTCCCTCTCTCTGCCCTTCCTCTGCTTCTCATGACCTGCCTTACATGTAGGAATTTTGGCTCTGGTGTTTCAAGTTTTTTAGCTTAAACTTTTTTCTATATTTTGATCAACTGAGACTTTTGCATTTAATTCCAACAGTTAGGGAAATTCATGACATTTCAACAAACAATTTGATACTTAGCTCCTTAATCAATACTATATTCTTCAATATTTCAGTCACTATCTTTTTTATTAAACCAAATAGGATTCCAATTTCTGCATACAATTTTTTCTGCTGTTTCTGTTCATTTATTAGATATCAGTGGGTTTTATATTGTCAACTTTGGCTATAATGCTCCATCTTTAAGGAGATGCATTAAGCTTTTTCTGTTTCTTACTAATTCATGGCATTTCAGCCATGTTTTTGTTTGTGATGTCAGCTTGCTTCTGCTACTTTACAGGAAAGAAATTAAGCATTTCTGTTTTCTATTATTTCGTAGGATTTGATCCAGTTTTGCTTAAATTTACCTTTATTTCTTTATTTTATTTTATTTTATTTTATTACCTTACAGTTAAACGTTTAGCATACAGCATTCACACTTTATTTTCGCATGAATTTGGACTTCTTATAGTTAAATATGTTTCATATATGACATATACTAGATCCTAATATCAAAATCAAAACTTTGTTTAATAAATAGGCTACTAAAAAATTTGACAAATTTATATTTGCACTCCGATTATTACTGCTGTAAGAATTCAGCATTTTTATTTGGTTTAGAATGTTACAGAACCATTCCACATTATTCACCAAACCTGCATTATATCATATAACCAGTAGGTGGCATCTGTTTTTCACATCAAATGCTGTGGGTTTATCAAGAACCTTAAAGAAAATCTGCTGGCGCACACAGAGGCATAAATTAAAAGTCTTTCAAATACAGAGGCTGAATAATGTTTTTAATATTCATTTTGATTAGTTTTTTTGCTTTGGGTTGCAATATTCTGGAAATAGTTTTTAAGTGAAATACATTTTTTTTTATTAATTTTCCCCAATTTTTTCATCAGACGTATAAGCTTTTACATCAGTAGAAGTTCATCAGCAAAGATTATGTTTGATCTAACTTTACAACTTTCTGTGCAAAGTCACAAATATTAAATTTGACCAATAAAATTAGGATTTGATATTAGACAGTACTTTCAAGGTTTCATATTGTTTTAACTGACTTTGTTTGTTTTGGTTTTTCTCATTGTAGTATTGGGGGCTTGTATCAGGATGC